TGTATCCCGGTTTGAAGCCTGACTGGAGCGGGTCTAGATAGACTGTTTCCTCCAGGTGTCGGGGGAACTGCTGCGCAACCACACTCTCAACAACCTTCGCCACAAAGCGAAGGTTGGAGACCGGACGATAGTTAGCTAATACATCTGGGTCCAGAGAAGGCTTCTTAAGGAGAGGCCTCACCACCGCCTCCTTCAAGGCCGTGGGGAAGACACCCTCCCGCAAAGAAGCGTTTATAATTCCCTGGAGCCAGGCTCGTGTCCCCTCCCGGGCAGCCAGTACCAGCCAGGAGGGGCACGGATCCAGTAAACATGTGGTTGCATTCAGCCTCCCCAGAATCCTGTCCACGTCCTCAGGAGCCACAGAGTCAAACTCGTCCCATATAACAGTCTTAAGACTTGCTCCTGTCTCCTCCCCCGGGGCCACCCAGTCAGAGTCAAGACCTTCCCGAATCCGAGCGACTTTGTCATGCAGATATTGAGCAAAATCCTCGGCCCTCCCCTCCAGGGAATCCCCTCCCCCCCTCAACTGAAGGAGAGAGTGGGCCACCCTGAAGAGGGTGGCCGGGCGATTATCTGATGACGCAATGAGGGTGGAGTAGTAGTTAGACCTCGCCACCCTCATCGCCACTAGGTAGGATCTAACCTGTATCCTTGCCTGTGTTCGGTCAGATTCGGTTCGGCTCGCCCTCTAACTGCTCTCCAGGCGTCTTTTCCGACGCTTCATCTCTCTCAGCTCCTCGGTAAACCAGGGAGCCAATTGAGATCTGCGCCGGGTCAGAGGCCGCAAAGGTATGACTCGGTCCAATGCTGCGGCAGCGTCCGCCTCCCAGGCCGCCGCCAGATTGTCAACCGAATCGTGAACTAGGTCCTCAGGATATGGCCCAAGCTCCGTCAGGAACCTCTCCGGGTCCATCAGGCACCTGGGGCGGAACCATCTAAGTGGTTCCTCAGCAAACATTCAACAATATTGGAATTCAACATTCTGGAAGCAAAAGCAATAGAACACAGTCAAACTAGAGTCTTGGACTTTAAGAGAGTTAATTTCAATAAACTTAGAGACAGCTTGGGAACAATTCCATGGATGAGAAACCTCAAGGGGAAAACAACTCAAGAAGCTTGGAAAATTTTGAAAAATGAGATAATAAAAGCCCAGTCTAGCACAATACCAACAAAGAAGAAAAACAACAGCTCTCAAAAGAAACCAGCATGGCTGCATAAAGAACTCTCTGATAAATTGAAAGATAAAAAGGACAAGTATAAAAAGTGGAAAGAGGGGAACATAATTAAAGCAGAATATCAGCAAATAGTCAGAGCCTGCAAAAATGAAGGAAGGAAAGCTAAGGCTCAAAATGAACTAAGACTTGCGACCAAAGTCAAAAATAACAAAAAAAAAGCTTCTTTCAACATGTAAAAAACAAGAAAAAGGTTAAGCAAAAAATTGGTCCATTAATGGGAGAAAGTGGCAAGAAGGTGACAAACAACAGGGAGAAAACAGAACTGTTTAATTCTTTTTTTGCATCTGTCTTTACACAAAGGGAAAAAACAGACCAACCTATCAAAAACAGTACCATAAAAAATAGATTAGAAACACAAGTTAAGATAGGCAAGAAAATGGTAAGTGAGCATCTATTCAGCCTAGACGAGTTCAAATCACCAGGACCAGATGGACTATATCCCAAGGTTCTCAAGGAACTGGCAGATGTAATCTCAGAACCACTGAACTATATTTTTCAAAGATCCTGGAGCACTGGGGAACTACCAGAGGACTGGAAAAGAGCTGATGTAATTCCCATGTTCAAAAAAGGGGAAAAAATAGACCCAGGAAATTACAGACCTATCGGCCTGACCTCAATACCTGGGAAGATTCTGGAAAAGATAATCAAACAACAAATCAGTGAACACCTAGAGATAAACAAAGTCATTACTAAAAGCCAACATGGGTTTGTCAAAAACAGATCATGCCAGACAAACCTTATTGCATTCTTTGACCAAGTGACAAAATTAGTGGATCAGAGGAATGCTGTGGATATAATTTACTTGGACTTCAGTAAGGCATTTGATAAAGTAGATCACAACCTACTACTTGATAAGGTAGAAAAATGTGGGTTAAACAGCATCTCTACCAGAGGATTCATAGCTGGCTGACCGGCCGTACTCAGCATGTGGCCCTCAATGGAACTGCATCTACATGGAGGGAAGTGTGTAGTGGGGTGCCCCAGGGCTCTGTTCTGGGCCCAGTGCTCTTCAACATCCTCATCAATGATTTGGATGAGGGGATAGATGGGGAACTCATCAGATTTGCAGATGGCATCAAGCTGGCAGGAATAGCCAACACTCCAGAAGACAGGATTAGGATATAGGAGGACCTGGACAGACTTGAACACTGGGTGCTATCTAACAAAATGAAATTCAATGGTGGAAAAAGTAAGGTTCTGCATTTAGGCAAGAAAAACCAAATGCACAGGTACAGTTTAGATAATCATCAATTTTTCTGATGATTATCTCCTGTATACACAGGAAGTTGCAGTTATATTTTTTGGCACATATCCCACAACAATGGACATGGAAGATGAGTATAGGTAGGAACAGTAGCCAAATACTCACTGGGCTTCATTTAACTAAATATGAAATCTCTAACTAGTGAGTAGTGGGGTGCCCCAGGGCTCTGTTCTGGGCCCAGTGCTCTTCAACATCTTCATCAATGATTTGGACGAGGGGATAGATGGGAAACTCATCAAATTTGCAGATGACACCAAGCTGGCAGGAATAGCCAACACTCCAGAAGACAGGCTTAGGATACAGGAGGATCTGGACAGACATGAACATTGGGCACTATCTAACAAAAATAAATCCAATGGGGAAAAAAGTAAGGTATAGTATAGGTGGTAACTGGCTCAGTAGTAGTAACTGTGAGAGGGATCTCGGAGTCCTAGTGGATAATCACTTAAATATGAGCCAGCAGGGTGCTGCAGCGGACAAAAAGGCCAACACAGTGCTAGGCTGCATTAACAGAGGGATAGAATCAAGATCATGTGAAGTATTAATACCACTTTACAATGCCTTGGTAAGGCCACACTTGGAATACTGCATCCAGTTTTGGTCACCATGATGTAAAAAAGATGTTGAGACTCTAGAAAGAGTACAGAGAAGAGCAACAAAGATGATTAGGGGACTGGAGGCTAAAGCATATAAGGAACGGCTGCTGGAATTGGGTATGTTTAGTTTAACGAAAAGAAGGAAGAGGGGGGACATGATAGCAGTGTTCCAATATCTCAGGGGCTGCCACAAAGAAGAGGGAATCAAGCTATTTTCCAAAGTGCCTGAAGGCAGGACAAGAAGCAACGGATGAAACTAATCAAGGAGAGAAGCAACCTAGAACTAAAGAGAAACTTCCTGACAGTTAGAACAATTAACCAGTGGAACAACCTGCCTCCAGAAGTGGTGAATGCTCCAACACTGGAAGTTTTTAAGAAGAGACTGGATAGCCATTTGTCTGAAATGGTATAGGGTTTCCTGCCTGAGCAGGAAGATGACCTCCAAGCTCCCTTCCAACTTTATTATTATTATTATCATTATTATAAACACAGATGGTTGCTTTACATAGCCTCCTAAATGGTGCCATTATTTGGAAGTGGGCAGAGACACGAGATCAGTTTCAAAGCACCCGCATTATAGGATACCCCCCTTTTGTCCCTGTGAACAACATGAAGATTGTGAATCACACACATATACACACAAACACCCACACAAAAGAAGGGATTGTGAGATTATAGAAAGACCTCCTCCCCTGTGCCATCTTTATTATGCTTCTTCCTTGATCTCCAATGAACTCAGGTCACCAAATGATTGGAGAAAACTAACATTCCATCTTTATCATTTGTAAGCAAGACCACAAAAACCCAATAATCAAGGCTCACTGCAGATTATTTATTCAATGTCGACTGGAGGAATTTCCCTAGAAAATAGTGGGAGGAAATCCTGCAGGCAAAAGGATGCACTTATATAGTATTTATATATTTCAGGAAAGGAGGACAAAATGTTAATAGTACAAATGTGTATTCATAATTAGAAAACATCAGGTTATTTCCCACTAATCTACTGTTACTATCCTCAAGAAAGAGTTATTATCTAAATAAAAAGAAATATATCAGTTGCATTGCCATAGCAGTTTTGGTGAAATGTACTGAGAAACAAGGATATCAAGTTGCCACATGCAATCCTTTATATTTCCAGCTAGTTAATACCCTCCTACTACTCCAAGAACTTGCTTTCCTCACAATCTTAACTTCTGGTTGCTGTTTAACAATTTGAAGCAAAAATGTTGATCTAGTCATCCCTGGAGAACAGCTTGCACCATTTTTTAGGTTTGGCCTGTTGGAACATGTTGAGATTTGACATTCCCCTTTCTCACATTTCGACATTTCTTCTGGTCATAAGCTGCTCCTTTGTATTCAGGTCTGGCCTCAGAATGATAATGTAGCTTTGAAAGACCTTCCCCTCCAAAACTATTTCTGGAATATCAGCAACATTCCCATTGCATAAGTATCAGGTTTCATATATTTGGGGTGTGAGATTTCAGGCATCAGGTACACTAAGGGCACAGGGTAATATGCTAATTTGACTGCTCAAAAAAGCTCAGCTGCCATCTTACAATTATACTGGATAAGGAGGAAGGATGCTAACTTCCAACTGCCCTTTAATTATTTCAACCAAAATTGTTGCCCCATCTCATGTATGGGGACAGCTTGAAATAATTTCTATACTTGGCCTATTGGCCTGTTGAAATGTGTGGAGAGTGGAAATTATCTGTCTCACATTTAAACATTTCTTCTAGTCGTAAGTTGCTCCTTTGTATTCAGGTCTGGCCTCAGAATGATGATGTAGCACTTGGGGATGAAGATGCAGCCCACCAGACCAGCATTGGAGGACAAGATGGAGAAGATCTGCACAGCCACCATGTGTTTCCCTTTGGTGCTCAGGTAGGTTGGCACAAAACTCACCCAAACACTGCAGAAGACCAGCATGCTGAAGGTGATCAACTTGGCTTCATTGAAGGACCCAGGGAGATTCCTGGCCAGGAAAGCCACAGTGAAACAAATGGTAGCCAGAAAGCCCATGTAGCAGAGGGTGATATAGAACATGACAACAGAGCCTTCATTGCATTGCAGGATGATTGCTCCAGGCTGGGAGTGGAGGTCAGAGTCAGGGAATGGGGGAAAAACTCCAAGCCAGATGGAGCAGATGATAATTTGGACAGTAGAACAAAAAAGGATGATGGAGTTGGCCAGGCTTTTCCCCAACCATCTCTTTACTTGGTTTCCTGGTTTTGTGGCCAGGAAAGCCAGCACCACCGTGATTGTTTTAGCCAAGAGAGAAGAAATGGCAACTGAGAAGATGATGCTGAAAACTGTTTGTCGAAGAAGGCAGGTAACTTTCCTTGGTGGACCAATGAAAAGAAAAGAAGACAAGAAGCAAAGCAGGAGGGAGACCAGGAGGATGTAAGAGAGGTCCCGGTTATTTGCTTTGACAATGGGAGTTTCACGGTATTTAATGAATATGATTAAAACAAAATCTGTGGTTAAGAACATGAGCAGGATAAAAGAGACCAGGATGATGCCCAGATGTTCTTCATAATACAAGAAGGATAGAACTTTGGGGATACATTGGACTCGGTCCTCATTTGGATATTTATCATCCGGACACTTGGTGCATTTTTCCATATCTGAGAAAACAAAAAAGCAACTTTTCTTTAATATTCTATCCTTTCATCTTTCAGGAAATACTTTCTTGGGACAACAATTAATTCCAGGAGCACTTTCAAAAGTGCATTTCATAAAATCTCCACAGAAAGAAGGTAAGAAGAATACAATTTTCTACAAAACAGCTATGTTTCTAATAATCTGTGAAATTGTGGAAGTCCAAAGATCTTAATAATTTCCTGAATAATGTGCAGAATATTCATAGGAATCTATATTATTAGAAATAAATAATGAAGAAGTTAATATGTCTAGGAAAACTTCCTAAGTCCTTTCAGATGCGACTTCTTAATATACTGAACTCACAGGAAACCTATCTTGTTAATAAAGGAGAATATTTGTAGACTAGCATTGATGATGTTACCTAGTTTGGGTAATGAAACATCTGCAAGAAAACAAAGAAGCTCAGAGAGCAACAAGGACCCATCATACCTATTTTGTGAAATCCAGTTGGCTGGGAGAGAAAATAAGACCTGCAAATAATCTGGAAATGGGTACTAGGAGCAGCCATAGTATGGGTGTAATGAGGTGCACACATAATTGTCCACATCACCTCATTGTGGAGCAGTGACTCCTTCCCAGTGACTCCTTCCCAGTGATCCTCAAGAGTAGGCCCATGTTGAATGCATTACAATAATCCTTGTAGGAGGTGAATCTAGGACAACTCCTCAAGGTTTGTTTTTTTTAAAAAAAAAACAACAAAAACAAAACAAAACTCAGAGTCTCCTAGAGGAGTAAATGTGGGAGGATATATCCAAACTGAAAAGCAGATAAGATATTTTCTCTGGCAGTTGTAAATCTTGTCCAATCTGCCACACCCTCCTATCTCTATCCAGCCTCTCCCTCACAATCTTTTGGGTAGGTATTCTTCCTTTTAGATGAGATATTATGTAGTTTGAAAATAAATAAGAAATCGGTTAAGATTCAATCTCTCTTTCAACAAGCACTTTCATAGAAATGCTCTGGATGAATCCACTTCCATAAAACCTGCCATTTTCTCTGGTGTCACCCACCTTCCTGAGTCGAGATGGTCCCCTTCGGACAA